CAAAAAAAAATCTAGGCGATATTCGAACCGTACTGCACAGTAATACGATCGTGAAATTGTTTCGACTTGTTGACTATGGCAATTCATCTGAAATAAGGTTTCATAATTTCACGAGCACATTGTTGTAGCGGCATCAATATGAGCAGACGATTTGACAAAATCTCAAACTATATTCGAAAAACGCTTATTTTGTTGCTGTCGAAAGTTCTGCTGTTCTTAAAGTCAGGTGGATAACTTCACTAGGAATGAATTCGATCGTATTAAAGTGCCGTACGGTTTGAATCTCGCTTGAACTTTTCTAAATCTACAGACATGCATAAAAATGCAGAGTATCGAGACATATCGATATTTCACATCCTTTTTTCGTTTCATTTATTTTCCTTTGAACGACAAAAGAACATTTTGTATAGGAATAGTCAGTCTAGAAGAATACATTACAAAGTGATAAGTCATATGGAAACAGTGAAATAATAGCTATCCAGTATGCTGGACAGTTCTGACTGAAATAAATTCATCAATGGAGTAAAAACAATGTTAAAAACGAAAAGTTTTGAAACCAAATTCGGATTGTTCAATATCCTTCGATGTTTTGATATCATGTGGTTGATGATCAAATATTCTGGGGCCTATATATAATAATTCGGAGAATTCTGTGTTATTTCATACCTGGCAGCAAGGGTGTGAATTTCATTTTTCCTACGATTATTGATATTGTGCAAATCCTTATTTGATTTGAAATCGTTCCTATTACTGTAGATATATGTCTATTAACTACCAAGGCTTAAAATTCTATGAGAAGTGAAGATAATTCTACATGAAGACATTTTGGAAGCACTAAAAATACAACGTAAAAAATATTTTTGTTTGATAAAGACATTTTTAGCTAAGGTTGAGTTGCCCCACAAACAGATGCCGTATCTGAATGTGGATACAACCTCTACATAGTATATAATACAAAGTTGTGTTCTGTCTGAAACAGTTTTTGAGTTCCTGATCATATACTGAACAGAATTCAATTTAGATATCAAAAGGCTACAATGTGCATGCCAATTCAGATGTTCATCTACATGCAAGCCCAAGAATTTAACAAGTTCATCGGTACTTAATATGATGTTGTATCCTTCATATTCCTATATCCTGTATGAGGAAGGTGATAAATTCCGAAACTATTTCGAGATATTGATTTGAAGATTTGAGAAAGTTGATTTGCAAAAGGATGAATAAATTCCTGGGAATACGGGAGCTCCTAAACTATTTCGCTCATGTATGACTTTTTTTGACCACTTGGAAAACTTCGAAAAGCTGCGAATAATGAATCTCAAACAGAAAAGACGCATATTTTCAAAACTGCATTCCGATTGAAAATCGGTTGATTTGCAAAACAGTCGAAAGTCGCAAATTCAAGTGGCCCATACTTAGTTCTATACCACCCTATAGATTATGTGAATTATCACGATGGAAATAAAAGGTTTCAGCATGTTTCAACTTTTCGAATAATTCAGACAATACATGTTTCATGGACTTTGGGATTCAGTATTTATTGAAAACAAGATGGTTGTTGCCATTGAGAATCGATGTCAATTAATATACATATACTAGAAATAATAACATGGTTCATCAGTTGGTCAATGTTTGCATCATATTCAAGGAGTCTGAGTTATTTCATTTGGAGACTGAATAATGGTTCATTGATATAATCACCATATTCATAACGGGTGTCAACGAATATATCAGACAATTTAAAATGTCTGGAATATGAGGTGTATCAATGTGAGATTTATGTCAAGAGAAATATTCTCGAACATTTTCCACTTCCTCGTTACTTCTGGTTTCACTGAGAAATGGAATACCCTGTATTTTGTAACATTTCCGGATTTCTGAGAAAATTCTGGCACCGGAGGTGAACTGATCTAAGGAAATGTTAGGACATCACAATTGAGAATGTTTGGTGACTACTATGATGGATAAAAGTAATACAAGTTGACAAAATCACAAATTCTGCGAATATTCAAACATAATCCACAGATTAACTTGTGTCTTGTGTTTCCTAGTATCTGCAGTAAGTAGGATTCAGTCCAGAAAAATAATTTTATATTTCGATAAAAATGACAGTCAGAAGTATTCTTGCACTTGCAGAAATAAATGATGGATACGTAAGTCGAATGTTATATCTAAAAGACATCACCCCGTACTGCTCTGTTGCTGATATATTCGACTGACTCGTGTACTCACACATGGTTCTTTTGTAACGATAAAAGAACGTGAAGCATCGAATGATCGAATAGACAGTTGTTAGCGAGTCGTAAACGAAGACACTCCATAATTATTGTTATATTTGTGTGCTTTTTTATTTTCCGAAACACCGTCCTTAATTTATTTTACCAAGAAAAACTACAGCAATAAACTCTACTTATACTGCTTCCTAATGAATTCAAGCTACCTATCACAAATGTACATTGGAAATAATCGATTCAGATAAACCTATATAAAGGATATTCATTCAATTCAGCGCATTCTTGAGGTGTCGCTCTCCAATGTAGAGCTTCGTTTAGAAGTTTCAAAAAAGCCGATGTTGCCGAAGACGACTGGATCTTTCAAGTACTCGCTTTAGATGCCTTCCGCATAGATGACAAAACCTCCAAACGAAAACAGACACAAGAGCCATTGTTACTTAATTTAGTAGGAGGGCCGGCTGCAAATAATGACCGTCAATGATAACGAAATGCTATATGTTCCTAAGGCATGTGAAGACAGTATTTTATCGAACGGCACCTGTGCCGATCACTATCCTGAGCAAATTGATTGAAAAATGGCTTTCTCCTGTTTGGTGATTTGCACAGAATTTCGCGATTTGATCACGGGATATGACAATTATGCCATCCGATACCAACCTAATGGTAGATCTCAATAACTTACCTGTGCCACTCCTCAATCTGAGCCAAATTCAGGACACAGCGATTTATTTGCTGCCATTATTCCGAGCATGCTACTGACATGCGTATATCCAAACGTGCTAGAGCTCAAACTGATCCAAGTTAGTGGCAGAGCGTCGATATTTCCGAGTATTTTTCGCTTCTGTCGAAAGATAATATCCGATGAACCAGTGTGAAACTCAGGTAATGCTCGCATCACAAGTATTCTAATCCACATGATGAGTTTTAGCTCAGTTCATCAAATAGTATCTACAGAGAGGGGTGAAATATTCTTGGAAATATTGTTGCTTTGCCACTCAGTTAGGTCATTTTGAATCGCGGCACGTTTGAATATTCGCAAAGGGGACATTATTCCCCTTCATTCGTTCTTTGTTTCAATTCGTTATCACATGACGAAAGTATGTCCAAAATAATGGCTGCAGATAAATCGCTATGTCATGGATTTGGCTCAGATTGAGGGGTAGCATTGGTAGATTCTCGAGATCTACCATCCCTGATAGCACGCAACCGCTTAGAGACGTCCCTATTTTGTACAATTCGAGTCCGAATGTCTCGGACCCAAGTTATATGTTCTTGGAACGTCTCATCCCGTACTGTCCGAGCAAAGACGTCCATGGAATGTCCGAGGTGGTACATCATTTCAAATGTTCTAGAAATAGCATCCTCTAAACGGCCCACGTGGTACATATTGTAGAATGTCCATGCAAGAATGTCCTTTGCAAGTGCCTGATGGGATTTAATTCTGAACGTTCCTCAAGAAACATCGATTGGATGTCCCAAGTAGTTTATCCTCTGCCATGACTACAGATCTTAATTATTGTCCCTTCTAGAGCAACTATGAAATATTCCAGACGGTACATCTCTTCAAATATCTCTGATATGTCCATTATGGTATACCATTCGAAATGTCCCGCAGGGACATTCATCGAATGTCCCCATTCGTACATGAACTGTAATGAGTTCGGAAGGAATTGCAATAGATAATCCATATGTTCATCTAAGTAATTAGTACGAGAATATTTTTCAAGAAATATGATTTCATGAGATGTCATGAGTTCGAACGTCTTATGGATGTCCCAAGGACGCCCTCAGAATGTCCTGGATACGATTCAGAATGTGTCCATCAGTGTTATACATTGGCATCAGGACTTCAGAAAAAAATTCGATATAAATATCTTTCACACCAGCGAATGTTAATTTTTTCTCTCAACGTAATATAAATAACGTCGTACGGACGCCCCAGTCGGTATGGTGGATATGTTGTCCCTGCGAGGACGTTGACTTGCACCTCGCCGACGATCGACTGTTCGTAGGCTATAAAAACTTCATGTCAATGTCCTTTACGCAACTCCAATGGACATCCTTGGAAAGCTTCTTTAGGATCTATCATTCTATCATCAGTTATTCAAGATCTGGTCCTAGGGAGACCCAAATAAATTCAAATCCAAGAATGATTCGTATTTCCCTGGGACTTTCTATGGACATTAATTCCAGACGACGTCTTATGGACGTTCCGGAGGACGTCCTATGGACATTCCAGAGGACGTTCCGCAGGATGTTCTATGAATTACCTCGGTACAAAAACATAATGGTTCATGAACTTTTCCAAAAGACGTCCATTGGATGATTTTCCAACGGGTTCCAATGTATAATCCTTGGGGGATATCCTTTTCTGGTTTTTACTTCCCATGGACGTACTATGGATGTCCGCGGTACCAAGAACGCATGTCCTATGGAGGTCCCGAATATCCGACAGGACGTCCTATATGGATATAGTGTGCTATTAGGGATTGAATTGAAATCGGATGGCATAATTCAAATCTTGTTACCTAATCGCTAAGTATTTCAATAATTTTGCTCAGGATAGTGATTGGCAGAGGTGCCGTCCGATGAAATACAATGTTTCTACATGCTTCTGGGACATACTTTTGTCATTTTGTTATCAGATGACGGTCGAAATTTGCAGCCGGATCTTGGACTAATTTTTTATCATGTCAATGCTAATTTCATCCCAATGCTGGCTTTAATATTGTTTTTGATTCGACACATGTATGTTGGAATTGTCAGACAGGCGACAGGATACTGGAAGTGAGCGGAATCGATCTGAGAGAAGCCAGTCATGAAAAAGCAGTCCAGGCCATCCGCAACGCCACTAATCCGGTTACCTTCGTTATACAGTCTTTGATACCTTGGGTGAGTATTAATTTTGCGAACATTCACTTCGTATTCTGTACAACAAAAGTGGGCTTACGTAGCCAGAGGCACTGCATTGAGTGGAGAGATTTCCCTTTACCCCCTTCAACAATAATAAATGTACAATGAACCAAACTCCTGGAAATACAACATGTCACACGTTACTATATTCGCATGTGTTATTATATTTGGATATCGTATGTTCCTGATTTGGGTCATATGCTCATGTTCTGAACCCTTTGAGTAATGAAAGCATGTGTTAACTGATTTACTTCAGATCTGATGAAATATTTTAGTTGGTCATTCAAAATGAAAGAATATGACTTCGGTTAACACTGATGAGCAAATGATCTTTCAATGATCAAATTACATCAGTCATGTTTAAACATTCTCTTTCTAATTGATATTTTGTCTCAACCAGTTCAATATAGATGGAGAACTTGACTAGATGTATGTTTTTGCAGGACCTCAGGTCTGCAGATCATGCTAACCTCTCGCTCCTATAATTAGCCCAATAAGCCACACGTATTTTATCAGTTGTTCTGCTATCAATCAATGATAGTCAATGAGTCGCGTGCACATGTAACAGATAACAGACCCTTGAGTCAAGGGCCTTGACGTAAAACAACCTCATATTTCTTATTTGTTTACTAAGGATTGAAATAGCCTTTCGCAGTTATTTTGGCATACGAATCGTGTTTTTCTGGTCTATTTTGTTATTCCAGCATGCCATCACATTGTGTTTGTTCAATGCACAAAAAATGCAGCAAAAGACGAAGGAATAATATACTCGAGGTTGAACGTGATCTGAAGGTACTGTGGTCACTCACATAATTTCCTTTTGAAAATGTTGTCTTTTTTCTTTATAATTCCTTCTGCCACTTTTGCAACAGAAGCTAATGGGGTGAAAATGTTCCAACGATCAATCCAATGCCTTCAACTTCACAAGTCATAACCTCTCGTCACCAAAGGAATTCCAAAGAGGAATGACAATATTCCAAAATAAAAACTATGTGACTATAAAGTACTTTAAGATCACAATTTACCTAAGATCTTATTCCCTTTTCCTCGTCTATTGCTGCATTTTTTGTGCATTGTACAACAGCATAATCTAATGGCATGCTTGAATGAATGAAAAAAACAAAATTTGTATGCCAGATGAATCTTTTGTAAAAAAATGGTAAAAGTGAGCGACCTACAGAACATTGAAATTGGTTATCCAAAACTTATAATATTTTTTTATATACCTATATGCAGGAAGGAACAGTATGGTGATAGGTAGTGATACTGGATGACCCTCTAGACCCGACTAGGTGGTGGTGGATAATATAAACTTTATCCCAGATGAAATCACAACGGTTCAAGTAATCCTTTCAGACCGTCGATACGTCGTCCTCCTGATGTTCAAAGAAATGTTTAAAAGCTAGCATCTATTGCTTCCGGCATATTTTTTCAGAATAGGTACCTATTATCGATTACAGGCAAGCATACAAAGATATTTTGTGTTTCACGATAGTTTCACAAAACCCGTCCAATTCTTATGAATTTCAAAGGAAATCAGCTATTCTCATTCATGGAAATGTATCATTAGAGATGAATCAACGACCTCAATCACTCAATCTTTGTTTCATGTTATTGATTGAGGTACATGATAATACTAAAAGTAGTCCAGTAGTCAATCATTTCTGATTATGACCTCTCAATTTGGAGTTTGGCTATCGGAAAGGGGTGCACAATAGTAATAGGGATTTTCTACGAGAATAAAGTTGACATCATGAGCTATAGGCGAATGCTGCAATCATTCGAATAGGAAGTTATACACTATAATTTTTCAACGGCAATAATAGATAACAGCGGCATTCTCGATTTCATCGTCTCGTAGCCATCTGGGTTCCTGTCAAGTAATGCTCATCTATTAGACAGAGCTGTCATTGCTTAACATTGCGACATTCCATGAGCGATGAGATTTTTTTGAAATAATAACACAATGGAGTCATTGTGATATCAGATACGAAGATAAAATTGATGACATACAAAGTACCTCATTGATGTATCGAACACAAGCAAACAAGAGCAATTTTGTGTTATAGCTGTAGAAACAAAAGTAGCATAGCATTATGAAAGTTCAGTTTTATTACACACTTGCAAGGTGTCCGGGAAGCGATTTTCCTAAATATACTGCACGCTAGCACAAACCACGCCCACCATAATACGTCATATCTCATACTGTGCTCCAACGCAAGAACTGAAGCTTTCTCGTTGTCAATCTCTTGTACGCAGTTAATTCATACACCCAAATGGTCTACTGGTTAGCGCTGTCGACTCTCAGTCTGAAGGTTCATGGTTCGAATCGCTGTGAACTCGAACTTTTTTTTGCAACTTTTTTTTTTCACCAATGTTTTTTTACTTCATTCTGGTTTTCCTTTTTCATAAAATATTTGAAGTCAAATAGGTTAGTGCGTTTAGGATAAACAGTCTCATTTTATTCAATTTTGTTGAAGAACTCAACTTTTGAAATATATTATTAATCAATGTGTTTCTACCTCGGTTTCTACACTCCATTCGGTTTTCCTTCCTCAAAAATATTGCAATCAGGGATAGGTTAGTTCGTTGAGGATAAATAGTCTCTGAGTTTTGCCTAAGTTATTATATTTTGCAATGCCGTAGTAGGGGGCGTGTCTTGTGCTGCAATAGTTTATATTTAGTAAAATCGCGTCCGGGAAATATGGTAACGGTTGAATATCTTCAGAACCAACCATTGGATCTAATAATTGAATAAAAACAATGGTTCTAGATGGTTGAAGCTGTCCCTCCCCCCCCTCTTTTCAGGGGCTAGAAGTAGTAGGACGAGTTTGATATCAATCGATAGATTTTCTTGAACCATCAAACACGTGGTTCATCATTACTTGATGATCCGATGTGTATTTTTCGGAACATTCTACCGTTTCCAGACTTTTCGAGCGTTGTGTCATGAAACCAGAACCCTTGTTGAATTTGTGTCGATTTCTACTTCTGAATGATTAAATATTTGTGAATAGGAATTATATACCTACCGAACTACATTGCTTGAGGCCACTGTTGATGATAGAATTGAGAAAAATTGATATAACAATAATCTTTCGTAGAAGTCCTTGGTTTCTCAAAGTGGAGTAAAGTAGTCATTACTGAATGATATATTGAATAATTATTCTTCGCTCTTGCAAAAATGGAACCCCTCCCCTTTTCTATTACATTTATCAATATTAGGATATATTCAAACTTCTTTCATTTCCACGACACAATTGATGAAGTAATTTTTGATTAGGCTGAGGATGGACATATACAGGGTGTTTCATGAGAAGACTCACATAGCCAAATGGTTAATAGGGGAAATCAAGACGAGTTGATGTATATATATGAAAACATTTTTTGACCCTCCATAACGAAGATACAGGGTATTATGTGAAATTGTTAAAGAACTTCCATGGTCGATATTACAGAAATAATTCATCGTAATCTGCTGAAATTTGGCAGCGACGTATCTCTACTGAAACTATTCAAGATAACAAATTATGAAAAAAAATATCCAGGTCCGGACTTGGGAAAATTTCATGTTTCATTGTTATGTCAAAAAAGTTCACTTTGTGACCACTTTTCTCGAAAAATTCCATCAGATTCAGAAATATCAGACAGAATGCTATAAGAAGTGCTCTTCAATTTACACGGCACACTTTGACCGGTTCAATAAAAAATATGAAACAAAATCGTTCGAATGAATTTTAAATTTCGACCTGGCTGATAACTGTCAACTTCCAACTGGTATCATGAGAATTGATTTTTCCTACATTTTTGTTGAATAGTAATTGACAGAAGAATAGATGAGAAGTAAAAACACGATATTTTTTTATCGAAATTCCAGATAGATATTATTATTCCTGACTTTGTTTTATGGGTTTCAATTGAAGTAATGATAAGATATCTAGCAGGCCCTGTTTTACATTTGTGTGACGAGACGTGACGTTTGTTGATAATCCGAACTGATAGGTATAGGTACTAGGCTAGTACTAGGTAGGTACCAACTGATGAAATTACGACATGAGGATTCATGTGCCCATATTATGGTGATTTATCAAATTAGTTATGCCATCACGCATAAACTCAGCTCCATTTTTTGTTATTGATACATTTCTGCAAATGATAAAAGGATGCATTTGTTATATTAATTTATTCAAAATTCCTTATGTTCATCCTCGTGAAGGTTTTACTGCAACGTATTCTTGGGTCTGGAAATATTCTATGATATTAAACATAGCACAGCATTTGGATTTTCGTCTTGTTCAGCATGTCAAATCATGAAAAAATCAGAACTCTCTTCTGTCAATTTCTATCTAATAAAAATGTACAAAAAAATCAATTTACACGAATCCAGTTGAACGATAAAAGTTATCAGCCAGGTCAAAATTGAAAATTCATTGGAGCGTTTCGACTCCATACTTTTTTATTGAACCGGTCAAAGTGTGCCGTGTGAATTGAAGAGCAGTTCTTATAGCATTTTTTCTGATCTTTCTGAATCTAATGGAATTTTTCGAGAAATGTGGTCACAAAGTGAACTTTTTTGACATAACAATGAAACATGAAATCTTCCCAAGTCCGAACCTGGATATTTCTCTTCATAATATGTTATCTTGAATAGTTTCAGTAGAGATACGTCGCTGCCAAATTTCAGCAGATTACGATGAATCATTTCTGTAATATCGGCCATCAAAGTTATATAACAATTTCACATAATACCCTGTATCTTCGTTATGGAGGGTCAAAAAATGTTGTCATATATACATCAACTCGTCTTGATTTCCCTTATTAACCATTTGGCTATGTGAGTCTTCTCATGAAACACCCTGTATATGTCCAAAACATGTATCAATTGATCTGATCGTTTGATCATATCAGAATGTCGTGGACATGATTTCGAGTATTATTTGGTTTACATATAACAATTCAATACAATGTTTGAATATATACGTGAAAAAGGTTGAAGATTCAAATTTTTTCAGTGAATAATTAACGCAACACGACTTTCATTCTCAAAGTTTTTTTCTTTCTGTTGTTGCTGGTGTTTATTTACTGAAAAAATAAGTTTTTGGAGAAGTAGAAGGGGAAGAATTTCAAAACTCGTTCGTCTATAGTCGGCAAAGCTTTAGAACTTTTTGCCAATGAAAGAATTCCCAAAAATTCATAATCTCCAAAATTAAAAAAAAATGTAACACCTACCTCCTCTTCCTATCCTACCTAGGTACGCACGATGTTTTCCGAACATTATAGGAATTTCCTTCTGTGCGCTCCAAGAGACAAAAAAAACCTCGCCATTCAATATTGACTAACTTGCTATCTGAATCACTGGTGACTGTCGATAATAGTGCTGTATCCAGCACATTTTCGTCTGAAGTATCAAAAATGCGAACATTCCATAATAAAAACATTTCAAAAAAAAATTTCAACACGTATCTCCTCTCCCTGTCCTCCCTAGTTACGTGCGATGTTCCACGAACATTATAGGAATTTCCCTTCGTGCGCTCCACGAGATAAAAAAAACTCCTATTAGGACTCACCTCTTTCATAATATGATACTCGAGCTCTACAGGTATCCTGTAGAATGCCCCATGAGTAAGTGATACGTCACTCCAAATATTGTAATCCTTCAATTTCCATGATTTTTTATACTACTCACTGAAGGCGGATTTATGCACGCCACTTTTTTATTAATATGTAGTTTCACAATCAACAAATTTGAAACTTGGTGTTTCCGTTTAATCATTTATGCAACCAAATTATTTTTTATCCTTCATTAGCTATTCGCTTAAAGATGGCCAACATTTACCTCTTAACAATGCCTTCTTATTTTTTCGAAATGCGGTTGAAAATTCACCTAGAGCCTGTTCAAAATAATAAGACTTTGAAAACAATATAAACAAATTAACCTTGGAGGTTAGAACACCAATATTTTTATCGGGCTAAGTACGCTGAGGACTATGTTTGGATCACGAAGAAGAGTTCGAAGGTAAAAACAAAGTGCATAATGGCATCAAAGTCCTTGAATAAATATGAATTCAATGACGGTTAATGAAAGCAACAGATTAATGGAAAAGCGGTGTGCATAAATCCACCATTGAAGGCACCGATGGTAGCTTAACAGCCGGAAGCGCTTTGCAATAATCTGAATCTAACATTTATATGAACTTAAAAGACATTTCATTCAACTGCTGTTGTTATATCATATCTTCTCATTCGAACCATGAATTTCCATTTCAAATTAACAAATAATCTCAAATTTGAATTTGAGTTCTGAATTTACAGACAACCAACGGACATCATTCGAACACATCCAACAACAACGTTTCATTCTCTCCATCTACAAAGACCTCCTCACCGACCAGAACGAAAGATCTCAAGAGCGATGATGATACAGGGTCCGAAAAAGGCACCAATGAAACCAACATTGTTTCAAATGATATTTCTTACAAGAAGGCCGATGTGGTATTCAACGAGCAATCAGATGGTGCAGACCTTATTCCACTTGTTTCCCAGGTGATACCAGTACATTCACCACAACAAGGTAATTATTTTCTTTTCTAATAATGATCAACTATCACACATTATGCATATCTGCATACTAATAAGCCTACAAAAATATTATAAAATGCACATTACGATACTCTATTCACTCCATTTTTTTCCAGACCAGTAAAATTGTACATGTAACAAATAAAGATTGAAAAAGCCTATGGCTATAGGCGAAATGTTTCAAATGATATAAAAACATAATTATTTTACTGAATCCAAAACCCAAGAACCGCCCCTTCCCAAAAACAGAGAAGGATTCAAGAACACATTGAAAAAAAATTACACATTATGATTGATTCTCAGTCCTGAAGGAACTGGGGGGTATCTGTTCGAAAGTTCCTTTGAATCGCAGCACGTAACCATAAAATATTACCTCTGCTTGCTACAGAACGAATTCGTATGCACAAAATTAATGAATATATATAATATTACGATAAGACTACCTAACAGTGTGTCCGTAAAGTATGGAATTAATACGATATTTCTCGATTATCATCAATTCTCGTATGTAATACAACAAGTGTATTGATGATTATCGAAATACAAATCTATTCGATTTTGAGAAGAAGATTATATTGCTGGAAACCACACGAGCGCATTGCGCCCTAGTGAACACAAACATCCCAAATGGGATGTCACATTCATGTCTCGCTGGGTAACAATGCGAATTAGAAGAAAATATCATTGATATTGCCAGGAGACTCTTTATTTCACGTAACATTCGCAATATTCATCACATTTTGTAGGATTAGAAACATAAAATGAAGGTGGATTTGTGAGGCTCCCCAAAAACTAAGACATTTATTGGAACCTCACATTCTTGTCTATTTATGTAATAAACGGAATTAATCAACTCTGATGTTGAATGGAGAGTAGCTTAATACGTACTGTGAATTTCATTTGGCATCCTAATGTGGATCATAAAATGACCAAAAGGGTACGGAATAGCTGTCATTGTGATTTCAGTGGGTCTGTCGATCCGAGTCACGGATGTGATGTGTGGCATGGGATCAATCTGTGTTAACTGAGGCGAGTGTAATTGACGAAGGTAATATTATGATATCTATGACAGCCTGCTGCTGGTCAGTTATTTTGATTTATTTATCCACGACTGTGATTTGAAATATTCATAATACATGTACTTCCTCAAGCAAAACGGTAGCCATTTTTCACACCAGGGAATAATAATGATTCACTGGTCTTTATTTCCTAGGGTACGCGAAATAACATAAAAGGAACTTTAGATCAGTGAATAATGATACGTCACCGCTATTATTCACTGGTGTGAAGAATGGCTATCGTTTTGCTTGTGAGGAAGTATAACAGTCGTGGACAGATAATCATAATATAACAGGTATCTCCAATTTTTAGTTTTTTCAATGTCAAATGGGATATGATGAAACAGTTGTTTGAAACAAATTCATATATCAAAGACAATAGTAGTCGCTACGGTCGTGACATAAACTTTACCTTCGTGAATAATAGCCCTCATTATATGCTTGTTGAATAATATACTATTTTGATTAAACCACCAATGAGGAAGCAAAATACAATATATATAAACAAAAACGAAAACATAATGTTTTCGATTATCAGCACAGTTCAACCAATCGAGTAAATAATTAGCATTATCAGTGTTAGGTAAAATATGATACTTACCGTGAATTCATATTACTCACAATAAATCAAACTTGGCGTCTAGGCCTTGTTTGACGAATTTCTCATTTCATGGTGATATATAACTATCAACGACACTTATATATCATGAATATATCTAGTTGGATATTCATATCGTAATGACTGACTATTCACGATACATCGCACATATTCATAGAACCTCACTCGATTCACCAAGACATTTTCCTGTAACTATTTATTTTTTTCAAGCAAATACTGAGGTCCTATCATCTAAGGATTCTATATCTGAAGACGATGAAGAGAAACTGGACCAGAAGAAGGATATTCGAGGCGACTCTGATGAAGGCAGTGAAGAAGATGATGATGATGAAAGGGAACTGGAAGGAAGAACTGTTTCCTCTAAAGGGCAATTTGTAAGTCTGCTCAGAGAAATTATGAATAGAAATAATAATACTATTTCTCCTTGTAGATCGATAGGGCAAGTGCGGCAAATGTTAGGAGAAGCAAGGAAGAAATAGCAGCAGACAATGAAGAAGAAGATGATTTTGGTTATACAACGAGTGAGTACAGTTTCCTTTATTTTTCAATATTTGCTATGGACAATGATGTTATTTGCAATCATCATCAGTGAATCTGCATTTACTGAGATAACAAGAAGTTTTTCAACACTTCGTATATTTCAGACAGACTAACTGTATTCACTGATCGACTGACTACTATGTCAAATCATCTCAATGATGTTTTCTATCTTCTCTTCCTCATCACGAAACTAATTAGCATCCGAAAGGGCTATCAATTTTTTCCATCGGAAAATTAATTGAATATTAATCAATATCCAATCTACATTGCGGAAACAGCTGATAGTATTCCTCATTAAACTAGATGTGGATCAATCTACAGAATAACGGAGACCTGATGAGTGATCGCCAAGGGTTTTCAGTAAATAATTAACATCGAAATATTTTGATATGAAATAATTAGTTCCAACCCTCAGAAGTCAAGCTATACCAATATAGTCAATGGCTTTACGTGTGTCGAATCTTTAGAGACATAATGCGAGTATTTTCATTCCTATATGTCAAATTTTATTCATAATTCACTGAAGTTGTGCACACAATATACTGGGCATTCACACAAGAAATCATTTTTTAATTATTTCAGTGATTTCAATGAAATGTAGAACGAGGGTTCATCAGTGATGAAGGGAACATAAAAACGCTTGGGTGCCAACATTTCAACATCAGGAATGCGCAGTTGCATCTCAACCAGCGATATTTCTCCTCTTCAGATGACTTTCTAATATTTTTCATACTATTATTATAATATCAAAATTATTGTCTCGGAATCGATCAATAACCAAACAGATCTTCTTTCATCTGAACACTATTCATTTATTTTGGGGACAATAGCGACAGATGGTAAGTTACAGAGTGCATGTCTGAAGTATAAAATAGGTATTAGTTAGGGCATACATTATGAAGACCGAATCTATGGTTAGGGATATAAATGTTACGAGTTTCCTTCACATAACATGTTATTTGATGGTGATGAGGAGACTTTCGATGGAAATGAAATTCAAAACTCTTCTTCAAGAGTATACAGGGTGTTTCGTAATATGTGGGACGGGCTTCGTGAGGAGATAGGGCGTCTCAAGAAAATGAAAAAGTTCCTATGAACAAAAGTCGTAAAAGGCTTCGTTTGCGAGATACAGGTTGTTAAAGTTGAAAATAAAAAATAAAGTTCATTGAATGTCTAGGTAACCGCTCAACAAAAATTCTTGATATTCTGGTGCATAACTCAGTGCCTGAGAGTGATTAAATATAGGTATAGCATTATTTAGTCAATCTGATTCCCAGTGGCACCGTTGAGGGGTTCTGATGTGTCACTTTTCAGAAAAAACATGGGTGGTCATGAAAGTTTCTGTAAAAAAAAGCATGAAGTGTACTCGATAAAAGCCGAATAACCAAATTCAACTCCAAAATTTGATGTAGATGTACAAGAATATCGGATAGTCCATTTAAGAACTCTGTTCAGACCACTCTATAACCATGATAGATACCATTCTGTAATTATGGCACTATGCCAGTCACATAACAGACTGAATTTTGTGTTCGACAAAAAACTCTTGAATGGGTTCAAACCTGAACGATAAAAATTAGCTTTTTCAGACCTCTTATCACTGATTCGTGATTGGGTTTCCTCAATGAAGAATCTGCCATACCTTGTATGATGAATATTAGTCTATCGTACTACTCGTAATCAGTTAGATTTCTCGACAAATCACTTATATCAAATTTCCTTCTGTGAAAACTTGTACTACTCACATAAAAGCTTTCATGAAGGATTTTTGTAAACGCTTTATACTTTTCTTATGGGTTACTTTCCTGTAGCATTCTGAATGCCATGATTCAGAATTGTTACTCAATTCAAGCGTTGTAACTGTAGAGTAAATCTGCTTCATATAAATAGAATCAGGATCATCTTGGTCAATTCTTGATTTGATACACTCCGTCACTATATCATGTTCTCTAGGATTCTTCAGTTATTGTATTTTGACAAATAAGGCACAAAGCAAAGTACCGTGAGTTTTAGGGATATGGTAACATGTAGGTAAGATACAATGGGCCACTAGGCCTGAGTGTCGTCAGAGACATCGTTCAGACGAGCCTACAAACGAAGTGGAGTGTTTATTATAGTCGGTATACCCTGGAGTCAGGTTACGTTAGGACTCCCACACTATCAAATGGGGGATTAGACCCAAATGATGTCGATAAAGGATTTCAACCAACTCGACAAAAAATACGCCAGGGCGATGTGGCCTTTCCGACAAGAGTGCCGGAAGTCTTTTCCGGGAAATATGGTCTCGCAACAATATTATAAAGAAGTATAGTTTTGAGAAGGAATTCTTTTCATATAATATATTATTGTTTGCTCAAATATTATTCAAAAAACTTCTGAAGAATTTACTAGGATGTATACACACAACTTTGAATCTCAACAGTGATTCGTCGACTCATAAGATGCATCTATGCAATGTAGGACGACGCCGGCAGACGTAGGAATAGTCATCGAACATCAGGTATAGTCAAGTCGAAACGGTGTCCAAAAACATCCGTTATTCCGATATCACAACGTTCAATACGAGTTTGGACAATCGGAATTATAATGATGCTGGTACCAAAATGATGCTCAGAAGTATAAGCAAGAATTTTTATTTGGGGCATCTTTGGAAAATAAACATTTGTTTTGAAGTTATTGAAATATTTCAACAGGTGTTGAAGAAACAGTAAATGTCGTCATATAAACTCCTTTGGTTTTTAAGCTATATTTCTGGAATTTGGAACATCGAATATGCTCACAAGAGGGCACTTTCTCACACTTTGGAAAAAAATTTTCATTCAATTTTTCCTGGAAATGACATCAACTTTCGATTCTCAAACGGTTCACTCTGTATTTCAATCCATAATCGGTTGGGTCCAATGGGTGTGACTGCGCAATATCGAAACTTCCGGACCCGACATTATTGAATTTGTTATGATAATCCCTAACCGATTACGTAATAAAATACACGGTTTTCTATTTGAAAATCGAAAGTTGATATCATCCAGGAAAACTGGAAGATGAAAAAAATTTCTCAGAGTGTGCGAAAGTGCCCTCTAGTGGGCATATTCGATGTTCCAAATTTCAAAAATGTAGCACCTGGCGATAAAAAAAGTCAGTACGCCTGGTATACTAAAATTCAATCTTCAAATATGAATTGTTTTCAGATAGATCTTCTGGATCTTTCGGTGTCTGAATTTGATTCTACAGGAACACCTTTTGTTCAACAAAGAGAACAAGAATACCTTGTTCGTTTTTGAATAATATATGCAGCATATTCCATTTCGATAGTTTATCTTTCAATGGAAATATTCTCAGATGATAAACAGGGTGTAAATTTGGAAACTTTCAATGTGGATATCTTGCGAAATAAAAAAGTTAAAAGACCGTCATTTGGCACAAGTTAGGGGGAACTAGAATCACCATATTTCAGTCAAATGGCACTACCTATTTTGTGATACCTCGAATGAAAGGTTTCATTCAGTAGAATTCACTTATACAGATTCTTTTTTTCTATAGCCGTAATATTGCTTTTTTCTCCGATTGGCAGCAAATATTGATTTTGCTGACACATATCAATCAGCAAAGTATGACTTTTCCTGCGTAGGCAGCAAAGTGGGTACTTTGCTGATTGATATGTATCAGCAAAATTAATAATCCATAAATCGTTTATAATTTCTTCCATATTTCATTCGAGACTTCCTCGGCAACAAATTCAACTCTATATTTTTTGCCACCTCCTTCATTTCTGGAGGTTTAAGTACTTCCAGGACGCTATCAGTGTCCATTATATAATAATTTGAATATACCGATATTTTTTCGCACAACTGTCAGAATTTTCATGAATTGTCAAACTATAATTATCATGGACAACTGCGATTTCTATAAAATTTCATTTTAATTGAACACTACAGGAAAAATAAAGAGATTGTGGGAATTGTAATAATTTGCAATCACAATATCCTCATATATCATTATGAACAATCATAGAAAAAATTATATGTTCAACTCGGCAGCAAAGTAGATTGACTGCCTTATCTGGATTCCTAGCCTCGTTACGCTCGGCTATGAATTCAGCCTCGGCAGTCAATCTACTACTTTGCTGCCTAGTTAAACAAATAACTATTCTTTTACTGTGTTCGGTCCATCAATGAGGAACTTTGTATGTCATCAATTTTACTTCCGTATCTGATACACTACACTGTATTACCACTAACCAAACCGATTCTTTTAAAACTCAGTTCTAATCTTCTCCTGAAGATGCTAACATAATTAGCGGAACACGTGTCGAGGCTTTAGAAAAATCTGGTAAAACAGTATAGTGTATTATCGTGCTAAAGGTTCCAGTCTTCGATATATCCCTATCTGATGTCACAATGTATCTATTGTGTTATTTCAAAAAATCTCATTGCCCATAGAATGTCAAATTTCAAACAATGACAGCTCTGTCTAATAGATGAACAATACTTGAGAGGAAATCAGATGGCTATAAGACGAAGAAATCAGAAATGTTTTGTTACAGCCGTAAAACAATTTTAGTGTATAACTCGCACGGAATGCTAATTTCCCACTCGAATGATTGGGAAATCACTATCATTCCGTGCTCGTTAAAAAATATACTATTTTCATCCAACACAGGATGGCACAAAACCATTTTTGGATAATTGTATTGTTTTAACATGATATTTGATTTGATCAGATTTTCAAAATGCATTCCATTCAGTTCTAAACGATAGAACAATAGATATTCAAATTCGATTCGTGTCATCGAGAAGGAATTATTGCAGAATGCAGATTTATATTCCAAGAGATGTATTCCAAAATGTCAGAATGGAATTTGCGAATCGATTGTACTATTGTTTAGTACTGAATGAAATTCATTTTGGGAATTTGATCAAATAGAAAAAAAATTGTATAAGTGAGTACTAAATGAGACTGTTAATTTGAGGTTTCACAAATAGGTCGTGCCATTTGACATTTTGAAGTTGGGGTGTGTCGCGCTGAGGGTTGACTCGTGGCTTCACTGGAAAGTGGCGGTTCTAGTTCTCCCTAATTCTTCAGCCTTTGTGCCAAATGGCGTTCTTCTAACTTCTTTATTTCGCGAGATATTCGCATTGAAATTTATCAAATTTACACTCTGTATATTATGGATATGTAAGATTACTTGAATGAATTGAGATTTTCTTGCTTTAAAAGAGCAGTGTCCAAAACGTCATTCAACCTTGCTTCTTTACCACCTACTCGTGCAGCAGCTCGACAGCATGCTTTCAGAGTGTACCACCAAACACAAATATGTGTGATGAGAACTCGACCTCGCTGCCGATTGATCGACGGATGACCCGTTAGCTCAATGGGCTTATATCACAAAATTTTTTTATTTCATAATTCAATAGAACTCACCCAAACTAACTCACCACCGCAAACCATTTCTTGCTGTGAGCTTCCTACGTTTTATAAAAAAATATTGAAATCCCCGATTTTTCGGACCTCTGAAAACGAGGCGATGATGTGACGTCAAAACCCTAATACTGAAACAGGACTATTCCAGACAGAGGTGAATGATACATGATTTCTGGCAGAGTGAATTAGCGCGAGATCACAGTTGAAAGAATTAATATATCAGTTGCCTCAGTCTCCGTCCGGCGTTTGGTATTTCCTTTTAACTATGGCGAGATGAGGTTTCTACGTCATAAGAGGGGCCGTTTTCAGATGGTACTACTATTTATGTCCAAAAATTGAACATTCCAGTAAATTTTTCGATCGAATTATGTCGTCAATCATTATTTATGTATGAAAGGATCATTATAAACATGGTTTGAGTTGAAAGTTCTACCAAGGTGTACACGCCCATTGGCAGAGCGTTGGGCATGTAACCCAGAGGTTGTGAGTTCGACTCACACGCGGGGCGGTGGAGTTTTTTTCATTTTCCATTGTCACTCGAAATTAGGGCTTTCCATCTTCATCATTATATGTATCTTTTCGGTTGAGTATCCGACAAAAATTATGACTTGACTCCTATGTATGATTGTCCTCGGACATTTCTGGGAAAATATGGAGACTGTATAGTACCATCCTGCCAGCGATGCTTCGTATAGTGCATGATTTCGAGTGACTCCGGGAATCGGAAGGATATCTTTTCGGTTGAGTAATCGACAAAAATTATGACTTGACTCCTATGTATGATTGCCTTCGGACATTTCCGTATACAAGGAAAGAAAATGCCAGAGGACGAACGAGGAAATATGGAGACTGTATAGTACCATCCTGCCAGCGATGCTTCGTATAGTGCATGATTTCGAGTGACTCCGGGAATCGGAAGGATATCTTTTCGGTTGAGTAATCGACAAAAATTATGACTTGACTCCTATGTATGATTGCCTTCGGACATTTCCGTATTCAAGGAAAGAAAGAGGAGGACGAACGGGGAAATATGGAGACTGTATAGTACCATCCTGCCAGCGATGCTTCGTATAGTGCATGATTTCGAGTGACTCCGGGAATCGGAAGGATATCTTTTCGGTTGAGTAATCGACAAAAATTATGACTTGACTCCTATGTATGATTGCCTTCAGACATTTCCGTATAAGTACAAGGAAAGAAAATGCCAGAGGACGAACGAGGAAATATGGAGACTGTATAGTACCATCCTGCCAGCGATGCTTCGTATAGTGCATGATTTCGAGTGACTCCGGGAATCGGAAGGATATCTTTTCGGTTGAGTAATCGACAAAAATTATGACTTGACTCCTATGTATGATTGCCTTTGGACATTTCCGTATACAAGGAAAGAAAATGCCAGAGGACGAACGAGGAAATATGGAGACTGTATAGTACCATCCTGCCAGCGATGCTTCGTATAGTGCATGATTTCGAGTGACTCTGGGAATTGGAAGGATTCTGCCGCCTGGTCTGTGATGAGAACTCGACCTTCCTGCCGATTGATCGACGGATGACCCGGTAGCTCAATTGGCAGAGCGTTGGGCATGTAACTTAGATGTTGTGAGTTCGACTCTCACATGGTCACTCGAAATTAAAGCTTTCCATCTTCATCATTAAATACAAATCTGGCAGGATATCCATTTGGAACCAACAGAATGGGGTTGGAAACGCACAATTAACGGTTCACTCCCAGTGACCACTAAGAAATAAGCTGTACCACCATCATTACTAGAGATTATTATTTCTGGTTGCAAGGGAAACTGCAGCTGTCGTAAGCATGGTCTGAAATGTTCGGTAATCTCTTCCAATTGTGAGAGATTGAACTTGCTCCTTGCTCGAATGTCGAGGCAGTCGAAATTGAGATCGAGGAAGACGTGAATGAACCCATTGACTTCGATTCGGAAAAGTTGTTGCCTATTGAGATGTCAGATAAAGAGAGTGATAAACCGAGACCAACTGAAAACACTCGAGACACTCAAGAAATTGAACAACTTGAATCACCAATACAGCTTGATCCTCAAGAACAACGCGTGAGCAAACGAAGGAAATTTAATCAGTACATGAAAATTCTCTGTTGTAACATTATTTCATATAGATATATTATTTCACTTGATTCCATGCTTCGAAATTCTTCTCACAAAAATATTCGATAATTGTAACAACCACAGAAAGAGGAATTGATGCTTTATATCTTCAATCCCAATCTCTCCCGGTTGTGTGCTGGCAAAATTGTTAATTTATTTCTTGTTGGGGACAGTACATAATATATCTCGGGTTAACTATTTGTTTCTCTTAGGAATATAGCTTGAAGATTATTTGCATAACACCCAGTTTCAACCGATCAAAGCGTACACCTATCTGCCGTGACGCACTTTTTCTAGCTCCAGGAAGGCATTTTCAAACGATAATATCTTCAAAACTATCACTTCCATCGAAAACATTGTGGGACATTTTTCGTGATGAAACTAGTTAGCATTTCTTCTTACAAAATGTTTTTTGTCCTCAGATCGATATTTTCTGAGATATTTGAAAGAACATTCTCAACGTTTTATTCTACACACCTGAAACAAGCGATATCAACCGAGGAAACTTCTCTGAAAATTTTGAAACCTCTGACGCCTGGACTAATTATATCCTTATGCCTTTATACCGTCCATATAATAGGTATAAATGTTGAATTCAAAATTTTATATAATTTGTTCGACCTGTCTCACGGGTTTTCGTCTCCATATAGCTCATTCGGAGAAATGAGCCCTAAAGAAAACTGCTGAAAATTGATTTTTCCTTGATGGCTTTTTAGTAGTACCTAACTTATACAGGGTGTTTCACAGGTAAAGGGAAATATTTCAATGGTAGATAGGGGTCACCAAGGTGGTTCTGAAAATACCATATTTGATAGGTCTTAGAGTCTTCATAACGGAGATACAGGGCGATTTATCGATTTCGAATAATTATTCATTCGTCTATATGTATTGACCTACCCAGTATATCTTTCTAAAATTTGGTATGGAGCTTATACTTGGGACGTTGAATTCATTCACCTATCGGGCGAAGTGAAAATCCAGGTTCGGCTTCAGGAAAAATTTACATTTATTCGAAATATTAGAATAACACACTGTATGTAAGTAATAATTGACAGAGTTCATCGAAGGAATCGTGAAGAGGAGGAAAAACTGAACTGGATTTGATGCTCTTTATTTTCCCGCCACCAATTCTCATCGTAACAATCATAAACAGAAAGCTGAAAGTATGTCAATTTGAAGAGTATTGAAATTATGAAACCAGTGTCAATTATAATTATTCGATATATTTTAGTGAAAAAATCGCTCGAAAGAACTTATACTAAGTCTCACAGATTTTATATCGGAGATTATCGGTTTTGAATAATTATTCACTCGTCCAAAAGTATGAAACTACCCAGTAACATTTTCTCAAATTTGGTATGTAGCTTACTTGGGACGATTGATTCATTAACCTATCTGGCGGAATGGAAATAATACCAAATAATTATAATTCGATAATTCACCCTGTATCTCTGTTATAAAGACTATGAGATTGTTTCTGAAGCTGAACCTGTATTTCCATTCTGCCTGATAGGTGAATGAATCTATCGTCCCAAGTAAGCTCAATACCAAATTTGAGAAAATATTACTGCGATGGGTAGTTTAATACTTATGGACGAGTGATAATCAGGGGCGTATTTACCTAAGGGCCAAAAGGGCCATGGCCCGGGGCGGCAGGCTGCGAGGGGCGGCGCAAGCCGCACCACGCTTAGGTTTTTTTTTACTTTATTCCTCCGAAGAAATTAGCGTCGGCGGCACACAGTTAGATTACTCCGTGTCGGAACCTTTGATGTCGATGTTCCAATTTTACCTCTCACTCACATGCACTCCTGGGAAACAAAGTCAACAAATTCTGGGTGCGCAAAGCATTTGTCATTTATTGCGAGCGGTGGTATTGTATCCGATGGCTCCGCCTCCATGCGCGTGGGAAACAGATTCCAGTTGCGCAGAGGATAAATTGGACCATGCAAAAGGACTGAGTAGTGAGTAAGCTAACTGATTCTTTTAGCAATAAACTATAAACTTTGTTGAACGATTCGTTTGCTTCCTGCCAAACACTGGTCACAAAGCAGAAGACATGTTGCTGGCCGTTATGGATACCTTTAAATCACTGTATATAGATATCAATAATTGCAGAGGTCAATCCTATGATAATGCTAGCAATATGTCTGGGCAGTATAATGGCTTACAAGCTGAGATCAAAGAAAAATGTCAGTATGCAACATACGTACCTTGCGCAGCACATTCGTTAAACTTGATCGGCTCATCGGCAGCTGAATGTTGCCTAGAAGCTACAAAGTTTTTTGCGTTGCTGCAAAATCTATACGTATTTTTTACAGCATCAACGGAGCGTACAAAACTACTGCAATCATTCTTAACTAAGCCTGAAAATGTAACTGTGAAAAGTTTATCACAAACGCGATGGTCAGCGAGGGACGATGCTTGTACCAGCCTTAATAATGATTGGAGCCAGATAATAGCGGCTCTTGAAGCTATAAGAAGTGACTCTGCATACCACAAAGCCTTGGTTAAAAATGAAGCGGCTGGGCTATTACCTCAACTAAATTCTCTAGAAACTGCCATATTATCGGAATTTTGGGGATCTGTATTAAAACGATTTGGTATAGTTTCCAAAATACTACAAGGTGTCGACACAGACGTAGAAGTAGTTTCCAGGCTTTACAAGTCACTCATTACTTTTGTAGAAGAACAACGGGAATCTTTTGATACTTTTGAAAAGGCTGGTAAAAGAAAATGCACAGAAGAGTACCGGAACATTCACAATAGAATTGTCAAGAGAAAGAAACGATGAGAGTAGCGAGGGAGAAGTGGTGTTTCAAGGACGGGATCATTTCAGGGTTAATACCTTCTTTCCAATATGCGACCGATTATTGGGCGAGTTAAGGAAGCAAAAAACTTCGTATGAGGCGGTAACCGCCAATTTTGTATTTTTATGCAAATTGGATACAATGTCTGCTTCAGAAGTGAGATTAAATGCCATAAAACTCCAAAAAGTTTACCCTATTGATCTGGCGGATGATTTACAAGAAGAATGTGTTCTCTTAAAACAATTCCTGACGTCTCATGAAAATAAGATGAGTTTAAGGCAACTCAGCTTATTTATTAAGCAAAAAGATTTGAAGGAAGCATTTCCATATATTGAAATAGCATTACGAATATTTCTGTGCACTGCGGTGACCAATTGCAGTGCAGAACGGTCATTTTCTGTACTTAAAAGAATAAAAAATTATTTACGTTCTCGTTTAAGCGAAGAACGTTTGAATAGTTTAGCTATTCTCAATGTAGAAGCTGAACTGACAAATTCCATTAATTATGACAGTGTTATTGACGAATTTGTTAACCAATCTGTCCATCGAAAGAAAATGTAAATATCGAATAAATAGTGTTTATTTCTTTCTTTGGCCTTCTTAATTTTTCCATTCATTATTATCATTCTCAACCCAATATACTGCTGGGTTTCATTTCATGATTTAATGTTTTGCTCATTTTCCGTTGATTTATGGGGCGGCAAACCCTACAGGCCCGGGGCGCTGAATATTGAAATACGCCCCTGGTGATAATTCACCCTATATCTCTGTTATAAAGACTGTGAGACTTAGTGAGTTCTTTCGAACGATCATTTGACAAGAATATATCAAATAATCATAATTGAAAGTGGTTTCATAATTTTTATACTCTTGAAATTGAGATACTTTTAGCTACCTGTTTATGATTGTTACGATGAGAATTGGTGGCGAGAAATCAAAAAGCATCAAATTCAGTTCAGTTTTTCCTCCTCTTCACGATTCCATTGATGAACTCTGTCAATTATCAGATACAGTGTGTTATTTTAATATTTCGAATAAATGTAAATTTTTCCTGAAGTCGAACCTGGATTTTCACTTCGCCCGATAGGTGAATAAATCCAACGTCCCAAGTATGAGCTCCATACCAAATTTCAGAAAAATATACTGGCTAGTTCGATACTTATAGACGAATGTATAATTATTCGAAATCTATAAATCGCCCTGTATCTCCGTTATGAAGATTCTAAGGCCTATCAAATATGGTATTTTCAGAACCACCTTGGTGACCCCTATGTACCATCGAAATATTTCCCTTTATCTGTGGAACACCCTGTATAATTCAATGAGAATTATATTCAAGTGATCCTTATCACTTGGGGGGACCCGTTGATATCGTGTCCTTGCAACATATTCAGCTTTCTTATCTGGGTTCGCATAAAGTTGTGTCTCTGATTATCGAAATCCTGTATGATAAAAAGACATTGAAGACCTGGGTATCTTCAACCATGAACTGGAAACAGTAGGTACTCATTTTATTGTCGGCAAAATGAACCATTTTTTAGGAAAATGATAATCAACTAATTGACGTGTAGTTCTAGAATGCAGGATATTTATTTATTTCGTAACGTTCGCAGCAACGATACTTTTTATATGCTGATAAATGAAAAATAATGACTTGTTTACTATTATATTTTCATCATAAACGGTTCATTTTTTCAACAATTATTGGAAGTGCCTTCTTAGTTCAAGGTTCAAGCTTCATTTTTTGTCTACTGCATACAAAACTTAGTTCACCACAGAAAAATCTAGATTTGCTCCAAGGACAATATTTCGAGTAGTCCTCGCTAGTGCCTTCATGTTGGATTTCAAATGAATTATTTTAATTTAGTACTTTGAAATCCATTCTATATGAACCAAATTCCAGCAGCGGTATTTAGTTATACCCATCTCTTGAGAAAAAGGACCTGCAAGAAAAATCTGTGAAGGAATTCATCATGAAGATAAGCGTCATTTAGGTGCTCATGTCCTGAGAAAAAGGACCTATCAACTTCAATAACAAAGAACTATCGCACTCATAATCTTAGTAACAGCAGAATGATGACCTATAATTTTGTTCAAGGTCACGAATGTTTTTGTTGGTAGGAAATTATCCCTAGTCGAAGACGAGGGACATTTTCTATCAACAAAAACATTAGTAAAACCAAGAAGAAAAATGTCAGGAATTAATTCTGCTACGAGGAAGATTCGGTGAAAATATTTCATAAATTGAAAATGAATGAAAATGAAATGATGAGAAGATGAACTCTACGACAATGATCCTACGACTTATACTGCGTAGATGTCGAATGAAAATCACACTTAGGTATAACTCGTTTTTATTACTAAAATGTGAGAAACATTAACTAACGAATTTGTTATCTGTAATACGTGTAATACAATGTCTATATAGTTTCAAATGTAACTCAAAAAAACAAACTTCCGATGAGTTTAGTTAAATATTTTTCACTATAGAAGTTGATTTCACAGAAACTGAGGTGTATTACTAATATTCCAGGAACATTAAAAACATTAATTCAACTATGTAACATCTGTAACATATCTACATAGTTTCAAATGAAACTGAGTGACTCTGGCCAATAGATATAAGGCGCTTCATTTTTGACAGAAAAATAATCACTTATTATTTCCATTAAGTTAATAGATATATAGCAACACTATTATACTCTCCTGTAGCTATAAAGCAACGTTAACAAAAAGGAGCTCCACTCTATTCGGTTGAAAATGATTTTATGAAATTTTCAATAGAGAAGACGACATTGACATTTTGCAAATAATCTGATTTGTCTCATACTCCGAGTATGTATATTGGAATGATTCACATATTTTCATTCATAGAAACAAGAGAAAATGTTTGAAACATTTAGGAAAATGAATGTTCCACATCCTTAATCATCCTCAATACATTATCCATGTTTTGAGGTTCTATCCCGGAATCTGGGATAAGTTCCACATTTCTTTGGACAATATTGTATACGGCTGACTGACAAAGAACGCCCCAAGCCATAGCCCTGCTATCAACCATCCGACTTATGAAAAAGAAAAAACCAAATGAAATGATTCCTCAATAGCATTGTATATTTTTCATTTTCTTACTAATATAAACTTCTTCTCTGAATATCATGATGTATGTCCAGAAATGAATCATTCATTTTACTTTTTATAGTTTGTAGTTCCCTAAGATATAGTCACTTGTTTTCAATGAATCATTTTTTCAAAATCATAAGGTCTTTTTTCATAGGGAACCATCTCAACCTCAAATGACTATACAGGGTGTCCCGAAATTAGCCTGCCATACTTCAACAGCGGTTTTTACTACCAATAATAAACACTGTATAGAAAATTCCTCTGAGTGAATGCATATGTGGTTGTGAGTGAATTTACTGATTGACATTTTTGAGTGAATTCTCAACTCAAACTAGATATTTCATCAAGTTCTCATATCAATGAGAATGTTTATAAAAAATTTGATTGAATCGGTTCATGAATTACCATTTTACACAGTCGAGTAGGGTGCAATTTCAACTCAATCGGGCGTGGACCGAAATTGACTCATTATTGCGTGGACCTTGAGTGAAATTTCACTCAATTTTTTTTCAGTGAAAAGAAAACTTTCAATAAACATGACTCGAGAAATGTCTCCTAAGGAAGCTACGGCCCCCTGGAAGGGGGCTTCTGAAGATGATATTTCTTGAGTATTTCCGAAACTCCATGTAATGAAAAGATGCAATTTGGTACAAGAACTAAAATTTCCATGCCGAATGCAGTGAAAATGAAAGTATTTCAGAATTTCAATCAGGACTGTATATTACAGGGTGGGACTACATGAAATATTGCTCAAAATTTTTTGTATGCATATTGTTCGACAATTCAATCTCGGATTATGAAATTTCACACCTATTTACAGAAAAAAGGTACTCGTGTTCCGTGACGATCAGATTTATTATCGAGTGAAAGCAATTTAAAAACATTGTTACATCTCAGATATCATGACTAACATTGCAATGAGGCGTAGTGAAAATGGAAAAAAATGCACAAAAATTGAACTAGTTTTTTAATTATTGTTTCATTTTCCGCGCTTTTATGAGATTGCTTGGTGAAGAGAAAGTACTTGATTTTTTTGAAGTCACTATGATTTGAAAATTGGCAACGTTATGCATAAGATGTGAGTGAATCAATATTTTTAAATCGATTTCACTCGAAGATGATACATCTGATCGATGCAGAACAGGAGCACTTTTACTTGTAAAATGTTGTGGATTTTCCTAATCCGAGATTAAATAGCCAAAAAATATGCATACGAAAAAGTTTGAGCAATATTCAATGTAGTCCCACCCTGTAGTATACACTCCTGAATAAAACTTTGAAATTATTTCATGTTCACCGCATTGGGCATGGTGAGTTAAGATCTTGTACCGAATTGCATCATTTTATCACGTGGCGTTTCGGAAATATTCAAGGAATATCACCTTCAGAAGCCCTCTTTCAAGGGGCCGTAGCTCCTTTAGGAGACATTTCTTGACTTATGTTCATAAAAACTTGTCTTCCTCTTTTTAGTCAAAGAAGCCGCTGGTGAAGTTTGGCAGTCTAATTTCGGGACACCTGTAGAAAATGTTATGAAAAGATTCATTTCCTGTCGACGGAGCATATATTTTTTCATACTAATTTTGCACGAAAGGCAATTTGTCATTCAGAAAAAAAAATCCTTATTGAAAATAAAATCAAAAATATATACAGTGCGATTCCAAAAAAAGTGGACAATCGCTGTCGTTGAAGTTGAAGAAATTGGTAGTGTCACCATGTAGTGTCTGTTTTTGGCTTGGGGCATTTTGTGTCAGTCAGCCTGTATACAGAACTTCACCACTAAATCAATGCGAAAAGTTGATAATTCTCGTGATAATTTCAAAAAGTGAAACAGGTCCGTTTTTTCAAAAAACTCTTCTTGTTC